GGTTTTTTCTTTTTTTTTTTTTTTTTTTATAAAAACAAAACCAGTCCTGGAGTAGAAAGTAAAACCCTGTGATGAACTTTCAGGACCAAATTAAAGTGTGAAAGGTTGAGTAGGAGTTCTGAGGGGCTGGGACAGTGGCCACAGTGGCCCAGGCCCCCCCACAGTTGGCAGAAGCCACTGGAAGGGAATCTGAGGAGAGGGCAGGGCACAGCTGACAGGAGGGCCAAACTCAGACAGGAGCACCCTGTCGTCATCATTTTTTCACTTCTACATATCATAAAAATTTAAGCAAAATAGCTATTATATATATATATATATATATATATATATATATATATGGCAAATAAAGAGTTCAGGGGTGCTGAGATGGGGCACCCCAGAGACGGGACTCTGGGTTCTCTGGTGCCCAGGATACCAACCCAGGCTGAGCCGAGGGTTGGTTCTTATTGCTGATTTGGGGCTGGGTTCCGTGGCAGGAGCACCTGCAGGCCCGGCCTCTGTGGGGCTGGGGAGCAGCCCCAGCATGGCCAGGGCTAGGCAGGGGCTGTTGCCCTCAAATCCACATGGTGGTCCCTCAGTGCCCCCTTCCCCACCATGCGTGGGGCTCTGGCTCCAGAGACAACTGACTTGTGCTCTCCTGGGCCCGGTGGCCCTTGGTTCCCTTCTCTGGGGGGTTCTGGGCTCCTGGGGGGTGGGCAGCTCACATACACACGGCCTTGCTGTTTGAGCTACAAAATGTTCCCGACTCAAAGGGGTCCATCTGGCTTCCCAATGTCTTAAAAAGAAGGGGCTCTTGCCAGGACACTTCTGTGGCAAGAAAGCACACTTAGAAAGTTGTCCACCAAGTGCTGTACTAAAAATATTTACTAAATACCTTGGCTGGAAAGAAATGGAGATCATTTTTTTTTCTAAAAAGTCAAAAGTGGCTCCCTGGGAGGGGGCCAGTTCCTCCCTGGGGGGCTGGTGACTGGAGCAGCCAAGGGCCCGGGCCAGCTGCCTGAGGTGTGGAAACTGGAGCTGGGGGTCCTGACGGGGCTCAAGTCCATGATGAAGGGTCACAGGAGACCCGGGGCACCTGGGGGCTGGAAAGAACCCGAGTCAGCCCTTCCTCCTTCCAAGGTGGGAGCCCAAAAAAAGTGTTATTAAAAAACATAAGAAGGAAAAGGTGGGGAGGGCAGTTGAGTACTAAATTGAGTGCATTAAATAGAAGGTGGACCAGGCTGTGCAGCCGCTTGTATTTGCAGGAGGGGGGTGGTGCTCAGAAGATGTTGGGGCACATGTGCCAGTCCTGCTTCTCCTTGGCCTCCCAGTAGCCACCCTTGTACACGCAGGCCGTCTCCCCAGTCACCGGGTCCAGCCTCTTCTCAAACCACAGCGGCACGTACACTTCGGCCTCCTTCTCTGCTGGGCGGCACAGTGGGCAGGCGGGCGGGCAGCCTGCCTCCTCCCAGCGCCCCAGGAAACCACTCCCTGTCCCCTCCTGCTGGCCCTCCTCCTCGCTCCTGGGGTGCCCCCCTTCTCCAGCACCCCTCCCTGCCCCCAGGGAATCCCCTCTCTCCCCCTCAGCTTCTTCCAGTCCCCTCATGTCCTCCCAGTTCCTGGGAGACTCCCATGCCCTCTCCCGCTGGCCTCACTCCCGGGGGCCCCCCTCCCCACTGGCCTCACCTTCCTCCGCACCGCAGCCCCGCGAGCAGGCCTCCAGCCTCCGGCGCCGATTCACGCGCTGCTTCTCCTCCAGCCGCTGCTTCTCCGTGTTGGCCTCATCCCAGTGGCCCTTCTCCATCAGCCGCTGGTCGGGCCGCAGGCGGCTGTCGGTGGGCGCCACGCCCTCCTCGTGCTCGTTGAGGGTCAGGGCCAGCTCCGAGAAGTAGTACATGTTCTCGGCGTTGTCCCTGCGGGGCCCCATGGGGTAAGCTGCCGGGACACACTCGGCCCCCTCTCCGCTTCCCCTCCTGCATGTCCACCCCCTGAACCCCCCAAACCTGGCCTTGCGTCCACCTCGCCCTTTCCTCCCTGCACCTTGCAGGCTCCATCGACCTGCATGTTTTGCCACATTATACTTCTCTGGGAACTTGCCCGCCTTGTCCAATTTTTCATATATATCAGCCTGAAGTGTTTCATAATGTCCTCATTATTATTCCTTTAATGTGTGTGACAGCAGTGTCCTCTTTCGCATCTGTAATGTTGATGCTGTGCACCTTCTCTCTACCCAGTCATGTCAGAGGTTTGTCCGTTTTCTTCGTTGGTGGAAGATGAAACTTTGTTGATCCTATTTTAGGTTTTTCTGCTTTACTGATTTTGCTTATATAGTCTTCCTTCTACTTTGTTGGGGTTTATTTTGCTGCTCCTTTTCTGACTTCCTGGGATGAATGCTTAGCATGATATTTTCCCATGTCTCTTCTTTTCTAATATGTGCATTTCAAGGCTACACATTTAACTCCAACTACTGCTTTAGCTGCATTCTACCATTTTTGTTATGTATTATTTTCATTATCATGCAGTTATACTTTCTAATTTTCATTATACTTTCTTTGTCCTATGGATTAGTTGGAAGTACATTTCTTAAGTTTATAAATAAATGGTAATTTTTCTAGTCATCTTTATTTCTAGCACACTCGCTTTGGAGTCAGACAGTATACTTCGTATAATTTCATCTCTTTGAAATTTGTTTTATGGCCCAGTATATGGTCAGTTTTTGCAAACGTTCCACATGTAATCAAAGAGATTGCGTTTTCCACAGTTGTTGAGTGCAGTGTTCTACAGCTGTCCTGAAGGTTCTATTGTTCAAACTTGTCCTCCAGACTTTTTCTTCTGTTATCCATTACTAAAAGAAGTATGTTAAAATCTCCCACTTTGGTTGTAAACTAGTCAATTTCTCCTTATATTTCTATCAACTTTTGCTATATATATTTTGGGGCTGTTATTAGGTACAGGGTATATTCAAATTTAAAATCTTCCTGGCAAATTGAACCTTTATCATTTTGTCCCTCTTTGATCTTTTGTTTTAATGTCTGTTTTGTGATATTACTATAGCTGAAGGCAGCTTTTGTTCGGTTAGTATTTCTGTGTATACATATCTTTTTCCATCCTTTTATTCTAGTCTTTATTTTATTTAGATGTATTTTTTGTAAACCACATAGTTTGATTTTTAAAAATTTGTCTGAAAGCTTATGGGAACACTTAATGTAATTACTAATATGTTGGATTTAAATCTATCTTGTTTCGTTTTTTTCTTTTTATACTGCCTTGATACTGTGAAAGTTTTGAATTAGTCATAATACTTGGTACGTTGGTCCTTACATGGCCTGCTTGTATTTTTTTTCAATCAATCAATCAATTAATTATTTTGGGCTGCATTGGGCCTTTGTTGCTACACACAGGCTTTCTTTAGTTGCAGGGAGCGGGGGCTACTCTTCATTGCCGTGCATGGGCTTCTCATTGCGGTGGCTTCTCTTGTTGCAGAGCACTGGCTCTAGGCGTGTGGGCTTCAGTAGTTGTGGCACACAGGCTTCAGTAGTTGTGGCTCGCAGGCTGTAGAGCACAGGCTCAGTAGTTGTGGCACATGGGCTTAGTTGCTCCGTGGCATGTGGGATCTTCCTGGACCAGGGCTCGAACCCATGTCCCCTGCATTGGCAGGTGGATTCTTAACCACTGAGACACGAGGGAAGCCCCAGCCTGCTTGTATTAATGCGACCTTGCCACCTAAACCAAAGGTAGAATCCTGACAAAATCTACATCTGACCATAGGGAAAACTCACCAATCCATCCTCCTCTCAGGTAGCCACTGGCAGGACTCCTGGGTTCATCAGTCCTTTGCTTTCCTTTTAATATAATTTTATTGCATCTTTAAGTAGTCTTAAGTGTGTGTGTATGTCTGTGTGTGTATTCATATACATATATTTTAGATACTTGTTTTTAACTGTATAAAAAGAATATGATGTATGTAACCTTCTGGGACTTGCTTTTTTTAAACAATATTATATTACTAAGATTTATCTGTATTGTATGTTGCTGTGGTTCATTTGTTTCAACTATTGTAAATATTGCCTTGTGTGAATATACTAGTTATTTCATCTAATAAGTTTGAGTTGTTTTCAAGTTTTGCTTTGAGTAATCTTATTCATGTTTCCTGTTGTACATTTATAGGAATTTCTCTTGAGTATACACCTAGAAGTGGGATTACTGGGCTGCAGAGTCTGTGATGTTCTTCTTTAGAAGGTAAGGCCACACTGCTTTCCAGCATGTTTATACCAGCTCACTTTCCCACCAGTGATGTATAAGGGATACTGTGGATCCATATCTTCTTCAACACTTGATATTACCAGACTTCATTTTTTCAAATCAAATGAAGGTAAAACTGCATCTTATTGTGGTTCTGATTTGCATTTCCCTGATTACCAATGATGTTATCATTTTCATATGGTGATTGGCCATATGTTTCTTCTTGTGTGAAATTCTTGTTCATGACTTGCACTTTCCCATTGGATTGTTTTTGCTTTATTTATTCATTAGAAGGTCTGTATGTATTCTTTTTGTTCCTATTTATTTATCTGTTTTTGGCTGCGTTGGGTCTTCGTTGCTGTGCGTGGGCTTTATCTAGTTGCAGCGAGCAGGGGCTACTGTTCGTTGCAGTGCGTGGGCTTCTCATTCTGCTCATTGCAGTGACTTCTCTTGTTGCACAGCATGGGCTTTAGGCGCCCGGGCTTCAGTAGTTGTGGCACGTGGGCTCAGTAGTTGTGGTGCACGGGCTTAGTTGCTCTGCAGCATGTGGGATCTTCCCGAACCAGGGATTGAAGCCATGTTCCCTGCATTGGCAGGTGGATTCTTAACCACTGAGCCACGAGGGAAGCCCCAGCAAAATTTATTTTAATGAACAGAAGCATTTTAATATAATTGAATACATCAGTGTTTTTGTCTTATTTAAGATATATTTCCGTAAGTTCTAGAAGATACTCATCTATATTTTCTACTTAGAGGTTTTTTGGGTTTTTTTAATAGTATGTGGATACAGGAAGACTAGAATTTATTTTTTATTTATTTTTTAAAGGAACATTTATTTATTTATTGCCTGCATTGGGTCTTTGTTGCTGCATGTGGACTCTCTCTAGTAGCGGCAAGTGGGGGCTACTCTTTGTTGCAGTGCACGGGCTTCTCATTGTGGTGGCTTCTCTTGTTGTGGAGCACGGGCTCTAGGCGCACAGGCTTCAGTAGTTGTGGCTTGTGGGCTCTAGAGCGCAGGCTCAGTAGCTGTGGCTTAGTTGCTCTGCAGCATGTGGGATCTTCCCGGACCAAGGATTGAACCCCTGTCCCCTGCATTGGCAAGCGGATTCTTAACCATTGTGCCACCAGGGAAGTCCCTCTACTTAGAGTTAAACTTACTGTTTAACAGTAAGTCAAACTTAATACTTAATGTAAGATCTTTATTTGGAGTAGATTTTTGTTATAATAATTGTAAGGGAAAGATTCACTTAATGTTTTTCTATATGGATAACCATTTTCCCGAGATCCTTTTAGTGGATGGTGCCCTCTTTCCGTGTGATATGATACGGGACCTTTGTTATATACCAAAGATATATACACATCCAGGGCATAGTTTCCAGGCTTACTATTCTATTTCACTATAGCTTCAAAATAAGTATCTAATAGGGCAAGTCCTCTTTTTTTTTTAGAAATATCCTGGCCCTTTATTCTTCAATATAAGTTAAGAAATCATAATATCAAGTTCCATGAAAATCCCTATTGGGATTTTGTTTGATTTACCGACTCTTTAGATCATGACATATTAACAGTACTTAGTCTTTCTACCCACGAACGTGGTATCTTTCTCCATTCATTTAGCTTTTCCTTGATATCTCAGCAAAGTTTTATAATTTTCTCTGTAGAGGTCTTACATATAAGATTTATTACAAGGTCCTTGATATTCTCTGATATGATAATTGGTGTCTTCACTTAAACTGTATTTTCTAGTTGTTTTCTTTTAGTATATAGAAATGCAACTGACTTTTGCATATTAATCTTATATTGAGGCACCTAAGATGCCTTTTGTTCAGATCTGTTAATGTAACAAATTTATGGATTTTCTAGTACAGACTCATCCTTGCGTACCCAGGATAAACTCAACATGACTGAAGAATGTTATCTTTTTTATATACTGTTGGATTTTCTGATGTCTTGTTTTGGAATTGTGCTTATCCATGAATGAAAGAGGGTAGAACTTTTATTTTCCTACTACTCTTTTAGCCTGGTTTGGTATTAGGTATCTTATACTGGCCTCATAGTATAAGAAAGGAAAGTATTTTTTTCTATGGTCTGGAAGATTTTCTATAAAATTGGGATATATGTTTCTTGACAACTTGGTAGAATTCACCTATAAAACTACCTGGGCTTTGTGTTTTCCCTGTGGAAATTTTTAAACTACTGCTTCAGTATCTTTAATTATAGGACTAGTCATGCTTTTTTTTTTTTCTTCTAGACTCAGTTCTTGTAAGTTATATTTTTCTAAAAATTTGTCCTTCCAATGAGAATTTTAGTAATCTCTTTATACTTTAAATATAATAAACATAATGAAAACATTATTATTTATTTCTATATTCTCTCTTGATCAGTCTTGCCAGTAGTTTTCTGTTCATTTTTTTCCCTCAAAGATCAACTTCTTTTTAAACTTTTTTTAATAAATATATTTTATTTATTTTTGGCTGCGTTGGGTCTTCGTTACTGTGCACGGGCTTTCTCTAGATGTGGCGAGCGGGGGCTACTCTTCATTGCAGTGCATGGGCTTCTCATTGCAGTGGCTTCTCTTGTTGCGGAGCACGGCCTCTAGGTGCATGGGCTTCAGTAGTTGTGGCACGTGGGCCCAGTAGTTGTGGCTCGTGGGCTCTAGAGCATAGGCTCAGTAGTTATGGCGCATGGGCTTAGTTGCTCTGCAGCATGTGGGATCTTCCCGGACCAGGGCTCGAACCCGTGTCCCCTGCATTGGCAGGTGGATTCTTAACCACTGCACCACTAGGGAAGTCCCTCTGCTTTTATTTTTAAGGTATATTTTCTTCTTTCTTTCAGTTTGTATGTTGCACTTTCTCTAATTTCTTAGAATGAAAAAGCTTTAATAAGCTTATATACCTATTTAAGGCAATACATTTCCTTTGAAGCTTTGTCTTTGGTATATCCAGCCAGTTTTGATATCTTTTTCTTCTGATTCAGTTCTAGGCATTTAAAAATTTCCATTCTAACTTATTATTTTGTCCATGAATTATTTAGCAACTTAAATTTTTTTCCAAATATTTGGGGACTTTTTGACGTCTTGTTCATAACTTCTAATTTGTCTTATCATAGGCTGTGGTCTGTGTGCTACCCTTTGTACATTTGTTGAGGCTTTCTTTAGGGTTTAGTACACGATTGATTTTTGCATAAATTCCACGTATACTTGAGAAAAAGCATGTTCTCTGTTGCAACCATAAGTATATGTATATCCTGTGTTTTTTCGCTCTCCATCTTGCTGGGTTGCTTTTCCCCATTTGACTCTCAACAAGTGAGAAGGGTGTGTTGAAATCTCTGTCAGTGTGTTGATGGATTTATCCATTTCTCCCTTTACTCTCAATATGTGCTTCGTGTATTTTTGAGGCTCTTTCACTACATGCATAATGTCTGTGTCATGCATACTGTTCATATCTTCTCAAAGAACTCAACGTTTTATCACGTAGCAACTCTTCCATCCCTAATAATGCTTTTGTCTTAAAGTCTGTTTTTACCTTACATTAATATGGCTGTTATAGCTTTTTGGTTAGTATTTTAATGATATGTCTATCTTTTACTTTCAACCTTTGCCCATCATTACGCTTTGGATCTTTCTTAGAAGGTGCATGCATCTGGATTTTTAAAAATCCAGTCGGTTAGTATTGGGTTGGCCAAAAAGGTCGTTCAGGTTTTTCCATAAATGGTAGGGAAAACCTGAACAAAGTTTTGGGCCAACCCAATATTTTGCTTTTTTAACTAGTGAGTTTCATCTATTTATATTATTATGCCTGGACTTATTTCTACTGTGTTAACTTGCTGTTTTTATTTGTCTTTTTAATATTTTTTTTACTGATTTAAAAAATCTTCTGTTGGTCTCTACCTTCACATCCCTTGGTGTCCTCTGTCTCCCTAGACTCCATTGTGTTAACATCATCTACACTTTTAATTCCGGACTATTGTGGGAATATTTTCTGTTTTTCTTTGGTCTTAGTAATTATTTTGAAAATACCTCCCCCACACAACCTTTTATTTCATATAACTACTGTAGCACCTTCTGGATTCTTTCCCTCCCCCTTTTAGACTACTGTTTTCATTGTGGGTTTTTGTGTGGCAAACCTTCTGAGGCTGTTCACTTGAGAACTTTTTTTTTTTTTATCACAGCCTCATATTTGAACGATAGCTCAGCTGGACAGAAACTTTTTTTTTAAATTTATTTTTGGTTGTGTTGGGCCTTCGTTGCTGCACGCGGGCTTTCTCTAGTTGGGGCGAGCGGGGGCTACTCTTCGTTGCGGTACATGGGCTTCTCATTGCGGTGGCTTCTCCTGTTGCAGAGCACAGGCTCTAGGCGCGCGGGCTTCAGTAGTTGTGGCACGTGTGCTCAGTAGTTGTGGCTCGTGGGCTTAGTTGCTCCGCAGCATGTGGGATCTTCCCGGACCAGGGTTAGAACCCGTGTCCTCTGCTTTGGCAGGCGGATTCTTAACCCCTGCGCCACCAGGGAAGCCCTGGACAGAAACTTTTACCTTCTAATTTCATTTTCTTCATTACTTTGAAAATATTCCAAAAATCTGATGTCCATCTGATTCTTCATTCTCTACTGAAATCTTTTCTCTCTGGAAGCTATTAGAATTTTCTCCTTGGTGTCCTTAATTTTCAGTATATTGTGGTCTAGGCAGAAGTGTCTCTGGAACTCCAATGGGCCCTTTCAACCCAAGGTCTTTCATCTGTTTGTTTGGGGAAATTTATTTCCATCATTTCTTTAACTATTTCTCTCTCCTATTTTTCTTTCTTTCCTTTCCTTTCCTTCTGGGATTCCAATTAAACATTAATTTAGTAGCTACTCTAGGAATTACAATATGCATAGTTCACATAGTCAGAAATTAGTGTGCATCTTGATCCTCCTCTTGGGTAGCACAAGGGCCTTTGAAAAGTTTCCAGTTTTCTGATTGTGCAGTTGCACTTAATGTTTAGATTCTAAACCCCACAAGACATTATTGTTCTTATTTATTCACTGTTCACATAGGTTTTGTTCCTCATTTCACACATCTTGAGCTCCTATCTGGGAGCTCTATCCTTAGTGCTGGTCTGCTGGTGGCAAAATGAGTGGCTTGAAAATGTCTATTTCAACTTTACTCTGTAAAGATGTTCTCGCTGGGTGTGTAATTAATTCTCACCTGTCAGTGAGTCTTTCTGCACGTGTAAGATTTCATCTGTCTTCAGGCTCCCGTTATTGCTGGTGAGGAGAAGGTTGTCAGTCTGCCATTCCTCAGAAAGTACATCTTTTTAAAAATCTGGCTGCTTAATATTTTCTCTGATCTAGTTTCAACAGTTTCACTGTATAGATTTAGATGTGGAAAATCTCTGCTGTTTTCTCCTCAGATAAGACTCCTGAGATGGTCTCTTGCTTCTGGACTCTGACCAGAAGCCTGCTGGACCCTGTTCTCAAACTCAACGTGCCCTACATGTCCTGACGCTGCACCCTCCCAGGCTCCGGGGATGCCTGTGGGGCTGCTCCAGGGACTCACTCTGGGTCACCAGGTGGCCAGCCTTCTCTCTCTAGGTGCTTGGCTTTTCCAGATTTTGTCTGTTTATCTGAAGATTTTGATTATTTCTTCTGACCTATATTCAGTCAATGGGTTTTCTCTATTAAACCTTCCCATGGAGTTCTCAATTTCAGTTACTTTATGTTTCCTTTGTAGAATGTCTGTTTCATTCTCTTTGGAATCAGCTGTGCCACTTTTTATAGTTTCCTGCACTTATTTTCATGTTTGGTTTTCATTCCTTGGACTATGCGGACTTGTCCCATCAATCAGCCTGTTTAAAGTCTCTGCATAGGACGTGCTGCCACCTGATGGTGTCACGCTTATTTACAGTTGGGTGTTTGGCTCCCCTCAGGTGGGGCCTGACCCCTCCTGTGCCCGCCGCTCGCTTCCTGTCTGGCTTGCCCCTCCCCGCTCCCTGCCTGTCCTCTGCCCCGCAGCCCCACTCACGGCAGCGGGTACTTCTTCCACATCAGCTTGGCCGGTAGCGTCTGGTACACCGTTTTCTGCTTCCCGTCCAAGCTGGGGCTGCTGGGGCTGCTTTGCACGATCTTGGCGCACTCCATCTGTTCATCCCACGAGCCTGACAGCACGTAGTGGGCCTTGCCCTGGCTGTCACTCACCACTCCTGTCACCTGGGGACATTGGCAGGGCCAGCGTAGGCACACGCCCCTCTCCGGGGTTCCCCCCTGACAGGCTCCGAGAGGTGGCCTTGCTTACCTTCCGGGCCACCTCTTTGGAGAAATAGCTGTAGGGTAAAAACTTTAGCTGGCACCGGTCCTTTGTCTTGTGGTTCACAATCTCGACGTCCCCTGTCTGGTAAGGGAGGGGAGTGGTCAGTGGCCGATCCCTGGGCCACACGGCCCCTCCCCGAGAGCATCCCCTGACCTGGTCGATCCAGAGCTTGCCCACAATGATGTTATGCACAGTCGAGGTGCTTTTCCTCCACACGTAGTGATTCCCACTGGCCTGGAATTCTAAGTGGATGGAACCTGGAGGCCAGATATAGGGTCAGAGGTCATGGCCTGCCATGCTGGGTCCCAGCCAGCCTGACCCACCCTCCCAAGGTCCCAGGGTCCTGAGAACCAGAAGCAGTATTTGTGCAGACTGGGGATAGGGTACAGGTCAGGGGGGCATCCAGGAAGTCTACGGGGGGACTGACGTCACCCCTGGAGGCACCAAGCTGGCTTCTGGGTTGGCAAACCCTCCCCCTCATCCAGAGTGTCCTTCGCCCCCGCTCACCTAGCGGCATGATGGAGAGGTATTTCCCCCGGAACTTGCTGGAGATGGTGATCTCCTGCCAGAGGCTCCAGCCGTGTTTGGAGAACACATAGTGTGCGGCCGATGGCGGGTGGTGGCTCACCTGAGACCAGACCCACAGGCCGTGAGCGTCTGCTGGACGTGGCCCGGGCCTGCCCCCAACCGGCCGGGGGACAGCCTGCCCCGTGCCCAGTATGAACGGCTCTGTGGCCCTGGGAACCAGGACACCCGGCAGGGCCTAGGCCCCCCAGAAAGGACAGTGCTCCAGTGGGAAAGCAAGGGAATGCCTAGGGGAGCAGCCTGGGTGGCGCTGGAGGGAGGCAGGGCCAAGGCGCCCCAACTACTGTGGGCCTGAGCCGGTGGCCGGGGCGTTTTCACACCTGACTTGGGCTGTGGAATGAGGGTGATGACATTGTGACAGGCTGTAATGAGGGTGAATAAAGTGAGGGCGTTAGGCTCTACCAGGGGCTTTGAGCCTACTTTCTAGTTAACCTGCCCACCGCCTGCAGAGGCTGCGTCTGCTGTGCTGTATTGCACTGAGGAGGCCCAGGATGGGAAGCCTCCCGGCCAGCCCGGCTCCAGAGCTGGAGTCCAGCTGGTGTCCCGTCCCAGCCTGGATGGCGGTGCAGCCTGCTCTGCCCACCCGGTGCCTCCGCCCCGTCCTCTCCAGCACTGGGCACCCTGACCACGGTCTCACCACCAGGACACTGCCATCAACTTTTCCTCATCTGTCCCTCCTCATTTCTGTGGCTCCTTTGGTCACAGGGTTAGGGCAAAGCCTCTCCCAGCCTCCCGTCTCGCAGTCTCGCCCCGGAACTGCAGCCGTGGCCTCCAGCTTCCCTGCACCCCTCCGTGCAGATGGCCCAGAGCTCCCGACAGTCCCCATAGGAGGCACCCTCATCCTTCCTACGTCTCAGAGGCACCGGCCAAACCTGCCAGCAACTGGGTGATGAGTGAGCCGTCCCCGAGCCTGCCCGATGCCTGTGGCCAGGGCCCCCACTGAAGCCCACCCACCAGCAAATTCAGGGACGTGACCCCAGAGACCTGGCCCTGGAGCTCAGTGTCAGCACCACCTTCTCGGGCAGACGATCCAGTCGGTCCAGCTGCTCACGCCAAATGCTCTAGAGTCATGGCTGGCCCCACTTTCTCATGCTCCCCATCTAAATCCTTAGCAAATCCTGGCTGTTCTTTCTTCAAAACAGCATCCAGAATCTGCCCTTCCCCTATACCGCCTACAGCCTCCCCAGCCTCCCTGCTCCACCCTTATCCCTGCGCTGCACTCTCCCCACAGCAGCCGGTGATGGGGGCGGTTCCTCATATAGCTGCCTCCTCTGCCCTCCCGTGACTCTTCCCACACAGAGAAGAGCCTTCTGCCGCCTGCCTCCTTCTCTCTGACCTCAGCTCCTTCTCTCTCCCTCACTCTGTGTTGCCAAACCGCTCCCGGGCCTTCCTAAAAGAGCCAGAACCATCCACATCCGCAGTACCTGCTCCCCACCCCCCGGCCCACGAGAACAGGCCACTTCCCAGCTGGCTGCACCCTCAACTGCTGAGGGGGTTACTTGATCAGCAGTGTTCAACGAAGAAAAGTACTCAGTAGTAGTTCAGGCCAGGAACCCTGGGTCATCCTTGCCTCCCTACCCACATCCAAGGCAAATCCCTAGCTCTGCTTTTTAAAGGTTCCTGTGCTCAACCTCCTACCTCCCCTGGTCTGGCCTCCTGCAGGCCTGCACAGCAGGCAGAGCACACCTTTAAAACCAGCCACTGGATTGCGAACTGTCTGCTTTCTGAGCTCAACCCCTGGGCCCACAGCAGCGGCTGGCACATGGTAGATACTCAGCGGCAGCCCGACCCGAATCTATCCTGGGCGCCTTCATGTAGCCCCTGCCTGGGTCCTCCTGGCACCCAGTGAAGCACCAACAGAATCGACCCCCTTCAGACAAGGATACCAGAGCTGGGCTGAGGTGCCCCAGGGGCCCAGTTTTGGTTCCACGCCTTGGGGAGACCAGTACCTGTGGGGAAGGCCTGTAGAAGCGATGGAGAGGATGGAGGTGAGCTGAGCCCCGGCCCCTCACACTCACAGCCTCCACCATCACTGACTGCGGCCCCGTGGGCCGCGGGCTGCTCCCTTTCAGCTCAGTGGTGACCCCACGCTCTAGCCCACCTGAATCCCTGATGGTGTCCAGCAAACACCCCTCCCCCACTGCTCCACGCCTTCTGGCTGAGAGGCGTCCTCCCCTCCCCCACCAGACCTGACTGTCCTCACCCAGCTCTCCTCCCACGCGGCCCACACTGTCCCCAGGAGGCCTGCTCCGTGAGGCGCCCCTGACCTGTCCCCGCCGCATGAGGCCCAGCTGCCTGACCGGACCTTGGCTTGATGGCCCCTTCGGTCAGAGCCCGTGTCCCATTTGTCTGGCTCTGACCCCCAGGCCTGGTTGAAGCGTGCGCGGGCCTCACCTGCTCGCAGAGGGACCGCAGGCCCATGTCATCAAGACGGTCCAGCTCGAAGGTCTCGCCCAGCATGGGGTTGAAGGGCTTGGCGATGCGGTGCACGGTGGTGGAGTAGGAGGACACGGAGAAGGCCGCCACCAGGCACATCTGCTCCATGGAGCTGGTGCAGTGCACGGCCTTGTCCAGCAGGTGGTGGTACTCCAGGTCCTCCGTCAGCCGCTGGAGCATCGACAGGGGCTCGTTAAAGTTGACCTGCGGGCGGGGTGTCAGGTTGGGGGTCTGCATAGACCGTCCACCGCTCCCAGCACAGACCTGGGGTTGTCGGCACAGCAGCCTTGCTTTTCTAAGATGTTCAGGGACATCACTGCTCAGACCACCTTCACAGAGAGGCTCATCTGAGGACCTGTCTAAAGCCACAGCCCCACTCACTGGCCTGCCTCCCCGCCCCTCCTGCCACAGTTTTCTCCACAGCCCTCACCACGTTCTGACCTGCTGCATCTGGCAGAATTCTGTTACATTTACTGTCAGTCTCCCCTCCTAGGATGTAAATGCCAGGGCAGTGAATCATAGAAATCAGTGAATGAGTGACTGAGTGAATGAACAGGTGAATGAATGGATGAAGTGGGTCTACCTTGTATTCTGAGCTATTATGCAAGTCTTCTGTCCTGGGTCACACAGTGAAACCAGGTCTGGCCTGAAGCAGCCCCAGCTCCCACTCCATGGAGATGCCACTGTGATCTGGCAGCACGAGGGCTCCAGCCCTGCCCTTTGCCTGCTGGTGACCTCGTTGGGGTGGGGACCAGGGGCAGCCCAGCATGGAGGAGGAGGTCCAGCCCCATACACAGCCCAATGTTGCCACTCCCCATCTGCCAGGGTGGGAGGCACTTTGAGGGCCCCCTGTCTGATCAATGCAGAGCCCCTTCCTGGCTCCTTACCTCCAAGCGTGAGACCTCTGCCCTGGGGGAATTTCAGCAGTGCGGATGGAACACGACTCAATAACACGTTATATGCTCCTCAAGTGTCATTAAGAAAATGACACCCAGGGCTGTGTATACTTCCAAAGGCCATTACTTCCCATCCACGCACAAGAAAACAGCCCCCAGGGCCCCCCTGGCCGCTCTGCCCGGCCCCTACCGGCATGGGGATCTTGGAGAGCTCCCGGCCGATGCAGTTCTTCATGATGCTCCAAAGATTAAGGCTGTAGTTGGGCTTGTCGGGGATGCGGACACGCCTCTTGACTTTGGGGGGGCCCTGGGGCACAAGTGAGGTGCTGTCTAGCACCTACCAGAGAAGCAGAGTGCTCCTGTCAGCAGAGGCCAGGTCGCCTCGGCCCCCAGGCCTCGCCCTCGCTTCTGGCCCAGGGCGGTCTGAGGACCAGGCCCGCGCTGGGACGTTGCTGGCGGAAGGGGAAGGCTCTGCCTGAGCTCAGATGAAGGCACCAGGCACAGGGCCCGCCCCTGGGGGGCCCAAGTTCAAAGTGTTGGCCTCCCCACTTCACCCCCCCTTCGGGGTCCCACCTCACTCACATTGTCTGAGGTCCATTCCACGGAGCCTGTAGTCCCACCCTCGGCTTTTCTGCAGGAAACACAAAAGGGAAGGAAAGTTATTTACAAATCCTGAGGCCTCCTGGGGACCCAGCCCCCTCTATCCAGTCCCCTCAGTGAGGTCCGAGGGGCAGCTTGCATCTCCAATGGGAGCGTCTCCAGTTCAGGACTCAGGTGGGGCTGAGGGACCTGGGGCAGCAGTTTGGAGGGGTTCCCACCCCACTGGTGCCCTGTGGCAGCAGCCGCCCAGCCAAGTTCTCACCAGGGGTCCCTGCACACAGGCCCCTCCTGGGGACTGCCTGACCAGGACCCAGAGAAGCCAAGGGGTGGGCACCTCTGGGAGAGCCCCCGGGAGCCCCGTGGGTCCCCTCTGGCATGGACAGACCCCATTGTGTCCTCACTGTGCTGGTCTGATTCCTGCATTCGACTTGGGTTCAGGAAGGGAAGGAAGTGGGTCGGATGGATCTCTGTGCCCAGGAATACTTGTGGTGAGATGGTGGCCAGAGCAGCCAGGGGCATTCTGGCTGAGGGGCCCAGGCTCTGAGGGAGCTCCCAGGAGGGGTGACCTGGGCCAGCCCGGTCAGGGCACAGGCGCTAGGCAGTTAGGGCCTTGGATGGGAAGAACCCACCCAGGTCCCTGGGGAGAGGGGGAAGGCACTGCAGACAAGGGGGCACCTGGCAGAGTATCTGCCCACTGCCCAGTGCAGCTGCAGCACAAGTTGGGGGGCTGCGTGAGCACTGTGAGCTGTGCCAGGAGCCAGGGGAGCCGATGAAGAGTACTGAGCACAGGGTCACCTGCTTGCTGGTTGGGTGGGAGCAGAGGGGCCTGGGCTGTTGCTGAGGTATGGAAGGAGGCCAGGGCGGGGCATGCAGGAGGCAAGCCCAGGCCCTGGGGGCTCCAGGTATAGGGGAGTGCACAGGGAGCCAGAGGGAACCTGAGCAGGACGCCCCTGGCCTCACAGCCCAAAGGGTGACACTACCAGGTGATAATGGAATTTCAGAACAGCTAAGCTGTGCTAATTTTGAGAGCAATATATGCGATTTTTAAATATTATTGGGAAATGCAGCACTCACAGCAGCACTATTTACAATAGCCAAGACATGGAAGCAACCTAAGTGCCCACTGACAGAGGAATGGATAAAGAAGATGTGGTACATATATACAATGGTATATTACTCAGCCATGAAAAAGAATGAAATATTGCCATTTGCAGCAACGTGGATGGATCTAGAGATTATCATACTAAGTGAAGTAAGTCAGACAGAGAAAGACAAGTATCGTATGATATCACTTATATGTGGAATCTAAAATATGACACAAATGAACTTGTTTATGAAACAGACTCACAGACACAAAAGACAAACTTATGGTTATGAAAGGGGGAAGAGGGATAAATTAGCAGTTTTGGATTAGCAGATATAAACTACTATATATAAAACAGGTAAACAAGGTCCTACTGTATAGCACAGGGAACTATATTCAATATCCTGTAGTAAACCATAATGGAAAAGAATATATGTATTGGGTTGGCCAAAAAGATGTTACAGAAAAACCTGAACGAACTTTTTGGCCATGAATATATATATATATATGTAAAACTGAATCACTTTGCTGTACACCAGAAACTAACGCAACATTGTAAGTCAACTATACTTCAATTAAAAAATATTTTAATTATTGGGGGACTTCCCTGGTGGCAAAGTGGTTAAGAATCCGCCTGCGAGTGTGGGGGACACGGGTTCAATCCCTAGTCGGGGAAGATCCCACATGCCGCGGGGCAGCTAAGCCCATGCACCACAACTACTGAAGCCTGCATGCCTAGAGCCCGTGCTCCGCAATGAGAAGCCACTGCTATGAGAAGCCTGTGCTCCGCAACAGAGAGTAGCCCCAGGCTTCCCTGGTGGCACAGTGGTTGAGAGTCCGCCTGCCGATGCAGGGGACACAGGTTCGTGCCCCAGTCCGGGAAGATACCACATGCCGTGGAGCAGCTAGGCCCGTGAGCCATGGCCGCTGAGCCTGCGCGTCCGGACTCTGCAACGGGAGAGGCCACAACAGTGAAAGGCCCGTGTACCGCAAAAAAAAAAAAAAAAGAGTAGCCCCCGCTTGACGCAATGCAACCAAAAATGATTGATGATAATAAATAAATAAAATAAATAAATAAATGTATAAAAAATATGATTGGGAAATGGAAGTATACCACTGATAGGACCAGAAACTCCCTGAGGGGTAACAGGAATCCAAACCATGCCTTTTCCCTGGAAGAAACCAGGACAGGGAAGTGGTGAAACACGCTGGTCCACAGAGGCAAAAAAGGAGCAGCCACAGGTTTTCACCGGCCTCCTCCCGGCTGGGCTGGGCTTCAGCAGGGGTCAGGGAAGACAGCATAGGGTGGGCAGGCCACAGCATACATGTAGGAGTGAGGCCGCTGGGAAGTATGCAGTTCCTGAGGGCGAGCAGGGGAGCACATGGTCCTGACACACCTTGTTGTGAGGGTGTCAGTGGGCAGCACGGGCTGCAGTCAGTTCTTTCCCCTGTGGGGCTCATCGGCCACTTTTATGTCCCCAAACACTGCCATACCCACCAACCCTTCTAGGGTCAGGACCTAAGCAACCCGACGAGAATGAGCAACCCTGGTGAGGACTGAACCCCGAATCATATTAAAATCTGTGCTCAAGCCCCGCATGCTCCCCTGACCACAGCCCTGCCGCCCACCCCATCTCACATGCTTCCCTCCGGACGTGTCCTGCCAGCTCGGTCCACAAGCACAGACGCTTCCCGAGGGTCCCAGGGAGTGTGGCAACATGGCTTTCAGTGCTAGTAACTGTCTCATTTACTATTAATGTGTATTTAGAAAGATCCTGAAAGAGCAAGCTTTTATGAAAAATGAAACAAAGGCTTTGAAATAGAAAATAAAAGAGGCTTTCTGTGTCTCCAGTCTGCTCTGGAATGCTGACACAGTGGGTGGAGTTGCTGGGACCTTGTGCGGCTCTGGGGCAGGAACTGGATGCAGCCAATGCCCTGTTGTCCATTTAAAATGAAATCCCAATACAAACTCTATTTGGGTATTTTTGATTTAAGGAAGAACAGAACCAATCTAAGCAAAAATACCATCTGGAGCAAGACTTAAAGAAAACCCCAAGTGCGAAGAACAGGTTGAGCACGAGAACAGGCCGGCACGGCTGACCCGGGAGAGGTTCCTTCCAGGTGGCCGCCCAGCCCTAGCCCACCTGTCCTCCTTGGGCTCAGTGATCACTGTGATGAAGGATGTGGAGTCTTCCATGGCATCGAAGTACTCGGTATCTTCATCTTCCTCACTGTCCTCGCCTTTGGTGGTTAAGAGGCTTCCTAGAGACACACAGAGCCACTGCCTCAGTTTGCGACTTCCACAGTCGCGCCTGCCCAGGGAGGTCTAGAGCCCGCGGCCCCTCCCCACCTCTGTCACCCGGCTGTGGTGCCCACGCTCCCTTTCCTGGAACGCACTTTCACCCTCTTGCTCAGAGCCTCCCTCCTTCCGGAAGCTTTCCCTGGTCTCTAAACATGCTGGTCAGTCTCTCTGTGGCCCAGCTTCCCTTTCTGATGGACCCCCTTCCCAGGGCACCGTGACCCTGAGCCCCAGGTTAGGTGGGCAGCCACCTGGCACCCGGGCAGCCCTGCCACAGAGGGGACAGTTGGGCTCACTGAGCTCTTCTCTGGAGATTGGGAGACTAGACATGGGGAGACTGTGCCCACTGTGAGGGCGTGGGGGATACAGAGGCACACAGGCACCAGAGTCGGCCAAGCGGGCCCAGACATAGGCGCGTTGAGGGGTATGTAACCTGGGGGGGCTGTGTAAGCTGAGCCAGCTGGCAAAGGGGACACTGATGGTGGACTGGATGGATGGACAGACGCCCACTCACCCTCGCTGAAGCTCTTGGTGGGGTTGGCGGCCCGGCCAGGGGCGCTGCGGAAAGCGCGCTCGAGGCTGTTGTGCTGCTTGGCCAGCTGCTCGATGGTCTCCTCCAGATGGATGCGCTGCTCCTGCTCATACTGCAGAGCCCGCTGCCATTTCCGGCTGTGCGTCTCCGCTAGTTCCAGGAAGTCCCTGCAGGCCTGTGAGGGGGCGTGGCCTGTGAGCCAGGCGGGGGCAGAGAGGAAAGCCCGGGGGTGCCGTGGCCCCTCCCCCTCCCTTCGCAGGTGGGTCAGAAACAACTTTGCTGCCCCCTGTGGCTTCCGTGGGGTCATGGGGACCCTGGCTGTCTCAGAGCCAGCCTGGCATCTGCCCTGGTCGGTGCCCCACAGTCAGGATGCCATTCGAGAGCACTAAACCCGGTGTTGCTGGTCATGCTGCCTCGCCAGTTATCAGCTGGCGTGCTGCGTGTTCCTGGTGGCAGAGGCCCCAGCTCTCAGCTGCTGCATCCTCACTGTGGTCTGGGCCTAGGTTTGTCACAACCCCTGTCCCCACTGGAACCAACACAGCAGCTCAGGCCAGACCCTGGCTTTGGCACAGAAGGAAGGAAAGCCACCTTTCTGCTACACCGCCTGGCTCAGATCTAAAGGGTCTTGTCTGACAGAGGAACTGGGACTCGAACTTTCTACCAAGTTACCTCAAAGTCTGTATCACATAAACTCTGCTTTTAAGGTTCCCCCTTCAAACTTGTGGCCTACTATGACATCCAGATTCTTTTCAGCTTCCCGGGTCCATAGGTGGTTCCAGCACACTCTTAGGAAACGGGATGGTTGTTTTGCCCCTGTCATCACAGTAGAGAAGAGGGTCTGGGCCTCAGCTGTCCCTGGAGGGCAGCAAGGTCCCAGCCGGGCACCACTGGACTTGCCCTTTCTGGACTCCTCTAACGTGGTCGGAAGGGACATGGTTCCCGGCCCAACCTGCGTCAGTGATCTCAGGCCGCCACTCCCCACCACCCCCTTACCACCCGCCACTGGGCTCCACGCACATCACATGAGGTCTGACACTGAGGGTTAGAGACTTGATTTCTGGAGGGAGAGAGGCACGGTGCCCCTCCTCTGTGACAGGTACCGCACAGCACTACCTGAAGGGCTGTCAGGAGGAGCCAGGGAGGTGACGCGGAGCTCAGGGCCAAGGGGCACTCAGTGGACACCCCCTTCATCACGGCTGGCGCCTGAGCACATGCCTTCACCCTGCCTGGGCTCGGCTGGCTCTCCCTCCCCATAAGGAGCCAAGCCCCAGTGGCGGCCTGGCTGGTGGAAAGGGCCCCAGCATGGGGCTCCAGAAGGCTGGCCACTCATCTGGCCCTGCACATCACTCCTTAACAAGCCCTCCCCAGGCACCTTCCCTCTGTCATCCCATCTCATCTCACCCCCAGCACCATGCAGAGTGGGCAGGGCAGGGGCTCGCCACCCCGCCTTTCTGAAGATGTGGAAACAGAGGCCCAAGGCAACCAGCAAAGTGTAGTGGAAAAGGTCACGTGATCAGGACTGGGAAGGCCCAGTTCCCGCATGGGTCACTCAGCCCCACTGAGCCCATGTCCTGTCCATAAGCCACAATGGTAAAGCCCCACAGCCCCTGCATTCGCAGCCCCCCCCCCCGCCCCGTCTCAGCTCACCCAGCAAAATCCTTGAGGTTGGAGGAGAGGGATTGTCCCTATTTGACAGATGAGGAAACTGAGGCTCAGTTCCCAGCAGCTCCCCAGCAAGGCTCTGGGGAGGGGGCACTTCAAGGGCCTCCCGCCCTCCCTGGCAGGTCTGGTCCCTGCCCAGCCACATGCCACTGTAACCCGCTTCTCCAGAAGGGGCAGGGATTTGTCTGACAGGTGTCCTGGCACAGGTTAGGGGGAGGGAGAGACTTTAGTGGGGAAGGAAAGAAATCTCCTTATGTACTTAGCAGGCTCTGGAGGTGAGAGAGGCTGCATCCAGGGCTGTTGCAGGTCTGGGGCTATTCTGGATCTATAAGGCTTGCCCACTGGTGCAGAGCTGCAGTCAGTGACTACCATGCAATTTGGGTACCCCCAAGGTGGGCTCCTGAGTGGCCTGTGTCCACTTCATCCTTGCTTCCCTTGACCCTAAGCTCGGCCCCAGTGCCCAGTCAGGTTAGTCTGGGCTCCAGCCACCCATTTGCTGACCAAGGAAGGAGTCCTAACTGCAGGGGCGCCGTCACTCTGCCGCTGCCCCAGCAGCTCTCAGACCACTGAGCCAGGTGCGCGGTGCTGTCAGAAACGCATCCCAGAGGCCTGGCTCTGGCGGGTGTGGGGGGGTGCCCTTGTCTACCTGGGCAGCGCTGGGTCCACCGCTTCAGGGAAGCCCCTTGCTGGATCCTCCTGTCCCCCTGATACTGGGGGCCAGGGAGGAGGGGCTGCCCAGGTCAACAATGGGCTAACAGGACAGGACCCCAGGCCACATGAGGCATGGTCCCCTTGCCTGGCTGTCTTGGGGAGAAGGTGCAGGGGCCCGGGCTCTGTCATGCATGGAGCCTTGTTACAGGTGAGACACATGACGGGTGCTTTACGTTTTCTGGTTCTTAGGGTCTGTGGGTGCCCTGCCTGGTGGCAGGTTGCCTGTCCCATCAGACTAGCTTGGCAGCTGCACAAGAGCCTCTGGACTTGCCTTTCCTTAGCGCTGCTCCGTCGTACCTGCCGCTGTCACTCCCCGCCAACCCTCTACAGCTCCTGCAATCATCTCGCTGAGTTTTAACACAGATGGACACTTTCCTTTCATATAATTCACAGCATTTAAAACAAGGCTTATTGGACTTCCCTGTTGGCACAGTGGTTAAGAATCCGCCTGCCAATGCAGGGGACACAGGTTCAATCCCTGGTCTGGGAAGATCTCACATTCTGTGGAACAACTAAACCCGTGCGCCACAACTACTGAGCCTGCGCTCTACAGCCTGTGAGCCGCAACTACTGAAGCCCGCGCGCCTTAGAGCCCCATGCTCTGCAACAAGAGAAGCCACCGCAATGAGAAGCCCACGCACTGCAATGAAGAGTAGCCCCCGCTCACCGCAACTAGAGAAAGCCCGTATTCAGCAACAAAGACCAATGCAGCCAAAAATAAATACATTAATTTATAAAAAATAAAATAAAACAAGGCTTATAAAAGAGCCACAAATAACAGTATAAAATAGCCAAATGTCATGGTAAATAATTCCTACAAACTCATGTCACAGAGCTCTACATGGCCTCTGACCTTCCTAGCAGCAAAAGCAAAGAAGGAAAGATAACCAACAAGTTTATAGTTCCCTGTATAGCACAGGGAACTATACTCAGTATCTTGTAATAACCTATAAGGAAAAAAAATCTGAAGAATAAATAACTGAATCATTTTGCTGTACACCTGAAACTAACACAACGTTGTAAATCAACTTCAATAAAAAATAAAATTAAATTTAAAACAAAGAGGGAAAGATGACTGTGCTGCAAAGATGAATTAGGCTCCCTTCCTCCTGTCCTTGATGTTCGTGACGCTCTCAATACTATAGGAATGATATGGAAGGGAAAACAGTGTTGGTTTCATTTTCTGAGACAGCTGAAAGCCTCTCACAGACCTGGTCCCAGACCCTCTCCACACTCAGCTCCTGGGGCCCCGTCCTGCCCCACACTCTCCCTCCTGTGTGACCACGTGCCTTCCTCCCCTTCTCTGGCCCCACCTCCCTCAGACCCCCCACCCCCTGTGGGTCAGGGCTGTTGTTGCCGGTGCCGGGAGGGGTGGCGCACTGTCACAAGCACTGAGGTGGCTGTTTTAACAGCGTGACCGAGGAAGACATGAAGGCTCAGGGAGACCAAGGGACTTGATCAACGCCACAGGCCGTGCGTGTAGGGCCAGGGTCCAAGTCTCCCAGGATGTGGAACCAGCGCTGTCACTGTTTGTTTTGTCAAGCTGGATCCTTACCCCCATCCGGATGTCCCTTGAGGCAATGTGGGGTCCCAGGGCCTTCCCGGAGTGGGGTTGGGCTCCTGGAGATGCTCGCTAACAAGGATGTTGGGGAATAACCCTGTTCAAGCAACAGGACCCAGCCATGCCTGGTCCCTGCAGCGGAAGCTGTTGCCCACACAGCCAGGGCTGCCGGTTGATAACCTGGGTGCCCTCCACCTTGCTGTCCCTGCAGGACAGGCTGATACAGGGCAGCAGAGGGGCAGGAAGTCAAATCCCCAGGATGGCGGGGGCCTCATCGGGGCCACATGCAGCTGGGCTGGGCGATGAAGATCAGAGCATGTCAGAGTTGCCTGAAGAGGGGGGCACGGCAGAGGCTGCTGTACCCCAATATGGAGGGGCTCATGTGGCTGGACCAGGGCCTTTTCCACTGACTCCGGGGTGCGGGGGTCATCTGCAGCTGATGAGCTGTCCTGGTCACCCTGCAGGCTGTGGAGAGCCCGCCTGCCCCCTCTGCCCTGAAGTGCCTACCTGGTGTCCATCCCCAACTGCACCGGTTTCCTCTGATGCTGCCGACCTTCTCCAGGCCCCATCCCAGCCAGCCGCGAACAGAGGTAAGTGCCGGTCTGGCCCCGCCTCCCTGGAATGCTGAGCTGGGCTGTGTGCCGTGTGCTCGCTAAGCTGGATTAGGCCTGGGGCCCGGCGATGGGCGGGCGGCTGGGGGTGGCTCCCAGGGGCCCAGGAAGGGCCTGGCTGATCCTGGCCCTGAACACGGTCACACTTCCCCCGAGGCCCCGCCACAACTCTCAGAGCTCACGCGCCGCCCTGACCAGGAGTAGAGCCACAGGCCACCCCAAAGCCCGCGACTCAGACACACTGGGCCAGCATCCAGGCCCCTCACGGCATCGCCTCAATGCCTACTCTGGGGCAGGCCCATAACCTCTTGGACCTCAGTGTTCTCGTGAACAGAGGGCTGAACCCCAGGACTCCTGCAGAGTTCCCGATTCTGTGACCCACTGGGGTGATCGTCCTCTGGACGGGAACTGGGTTCCAGTCTCCCAGGCCTGCCCCTTCCTCCCACCCCCATGGCCGTCGAGAGGGTCCCTGAGATGAAGAGGTGCAGGGTCCTGTGGGCAATGCGATTCTACCTCTGTGGGGAGGGCAGGGGGCCTGTTGACACGCCCAAAGCAGAGTGAGAACCAAAAGCCCAGAAAGGAAATGGCGGCACTCCCCCATGCCCCTGCACGGAGGCACCCACCGGGGAA